GGAGTCTGGCTGCGGTGACTCGGAACCACTAACCCGGCAGCGTCCAGGAGACACCGCGGCTCCAGCACAAGCAGCACCTGGGGTTGTGAGTAGCGCCCCCCACCCACCTCCAAAAAATTCACCGCTACTGCCGCCCGCTCCTCCCCCTCCCTTCTCCTCCCCTCCTCCACCGGCACTAGGAGCACGCATGCGCCGCCGAGGCAAGCCTACCGACGGACTTCAGGCCCCGGGCCCACCCGGTGGGACGCCACTCACCAAGAGCGCGCACGCGTCGGCGGCCAGATTTCCTTCGCGCTCTCACTCTCGGGGGTTTCCTTTTTAAGCCGGTAGCCGCAAACCTAGTCTGTGATTGCGCTCCCTGCCAGCGCATGCGTCGTCAGTGACCCTCGCGGGCTCCGACCGCCGGCGCTCTGAGTTTGCCCCTCCCCTCACTCTCCCTTTCCCCGGCGCAACTCGATGCGCATGCGACTTGCCCCGTTAGGCAGCGCCGAGCCGCGGAGGGGATCCCGGGCGCCGAGGAGACTCCGGCTCCCTTGAGCCGTGCGTCTGCGCCGTCCGCGGAGGGAGACCGGTATTTCCTCGGCGCCCCCTACTCCGCACTCGTTACTGGAAAGCCGGGGAGGCGGGGCCTGGTCGGATCGGGGGAATCGTTGGCATTAGGTCCGGGCGGCTTTGGCTTTCGCCTATGGTAGGGAGCGAGGAGGAGGAGGTGGAGGGAGAGCTTCTTGCTGGATGAGGCATCCGGGGGTGCAAAAGGAGACCCTCTCCCTTTTAAAAAGCAAATCACTTTGCCAACAACGCCAGGGAAGATTTTCCGGGTGTTGGCAGGCGGAAGACTTTTTTCATTCACCAGCGGCATCACTCGTGTTTCCTCTCTTGGGGCTGGGAGAGGTTGTTTGCGAAGGTGGATGGACATCCAGAGACATCTTTTTCTTCTCTCTGGAAGGAGCAAGGCTCGTGTTTCTTATTGGTGGGTGGGCCTGCGGAGACCGGATATGCGCCAGTGGCTGGAGGAGGGAGGTAAGAGAAGGTCAAGATGTGTTCCTTCGGAGTTTTTCACCTGGCCTTAAAAACCTGGTGACAGTATAATGGCAGATGAGGGATGAAGCAGTGAGGATACACCAGGACCTAATCTGCACGGCTTCCCTTATTAGAAAAGCATGTGAATACTTCCTACTTACTTTAGGGGAAATTACTTCCATTGATGCTTATAACACACTTGGTCCATATGGGAAAGCACGTTTCAGTAGTTGTCAATGATTGGAAAAGAAGTCTTTACAGCCCTAATTCCTAGTATTTTTCATGTTTTAGTGAATGTCTTTTGGATTTACAATAGAAACCATCTTCTTGTTTCAAAATTGCTCCCTTCAACGTAACATTCATCTCAGTAAGCATTTATGATTCTTGCAGAAAGAGAAAAAGAACATCAAAATTGGGGAACTTATCCCTGATCCTTCACCTGAGGATTTTAACCACTCCATCATATAGCAGACATTTTTGCCTGTTAAATATTCATTTTCTATTCCAATAATTCCTCTTGGAGAACTATTCACTCAGTCCATTATGGCTGGGGCAGTGAAGGAAGGAAGGAAGGAAGCCAGTGAAGGAAGCATATTTGAGTTGATCTTCTGCCTTAGGCTGGAGTTACCAAGTAGGGTGCTCTCTCTGCCAATGGATTTAAATCTGGAAAAATGAAGGCCTGAAGCCATCTTTCCACTCATGGATTATTCTAAGAAAGAAGGCAACGTGGAAAAAAGCGGATTCAAAGATGGAGATTTGGCCTTGTTAGCATTTAATGCCCTGAACCCAACGTGGGCCAGATAACTGGAAATTTCAGTTAAATTAGTTCTTTCATGTGTCTGTTTTATTGCTTAAACTAGTGAGAGGTTTTCTGTCACTTGCTATCATGAATCCTAAAGGATGCTGGTAGTAGGAGAGCAGGCAAGGTTAATAATATGGATAAGGTAGGTTGCAGCCAGACCAGAGGGTTTGCATGCTTCCCCTATGACATGGATGTTTATATTCTAGAGAAAGTGATCCCTCCTCAGATTCTACCTCATCTAGAACTCCTATCTTCAAAAACACCTTTGCCCTTTTAATGGTTCCATTATACTCTTAGTCACTAGTATCAAATCACGTTCATCTTTGACTCCTTCCTCTCTCATTTTCTGTATTTAATCATTTACCAAGACCAATTGATAATCCTCTTTTTTTCTGCTCAGTCCTCTGCCACTGCTTGAACATTTCCCCAGTTCAGTTCACAGTTTATCTGTTCTCCCCATATTCTCTCCAAGAAGAAAACTGAATCAGATATTTCTAATAACTTTTCCAACTTCTAGATTCTACTTTTCCCTAAGAAAAATCCTGCTTCATAGTTTCACAGATCCTAAACAACAATTTATGTAATTTAAATATTCTGTTAATTCTTTCTCATATACCTTGCTGTTACTTAAACAGCATTTCCAGCACCCTTTCCAACTGATTCTCCTAGTTGATGTCTTGATAGAGACAATATAATTTAGTTGTTAAGAGTACAAAATTGGAAACTAAAACTGCTGGATTGAAATCCCAACCCACCACTTAATATCTACATGACTTTGAGCAAGTTATTTCTCTATTCATAGATAGTTTAAGGTAAACTGGAACACAGGAAATTTAAGATATGCATAATAGGGAATATAAGAAAAGTTTGTGGCATTTTTTTAAAAGAAATCTCCATGGGTTAGCCAATTTCTAATATTGTTTCTAGATCCTTTAAAATAGAGGGCAGTACAATAATATGAGGTGGTGATAATAGACTTTGTAGTCAAAGGTCTGGGCTTAAATCCTGACCAGTTCTAAAGTAAGAGACATTGAACAAGTTAAAAGAATTTGAGCTTCAGAGCATTTATCTGTAAACATAGAAGAATAAGCATCTCAGAGAATTGTGATGATCAAATGTAAATTATAAACTGCTACATAAAGGTTTAGTAGTAAGGATGATGGTTTTAGATGTTTACAATTTGTTGCTGGAAACCTAGGAATGGTTGAAATGACTCATCAATTTTGTTTTATTTTTTTTTAATAGTAACTTTTTAAAAAAATTTTTTTAATTTTTTTTTTTTTTTTTGAGAGAGAGAAAGAGAGTGAGCAGGGGAGGGGCAGTGGGAGAGGGAGACACAATCCAAAGCAGGCTCTAGGCTCTGAGCTGTCAGCACAGAACCTGATGCAGGGCTCAAACTCACAAAACTTGAGATCATGACCTGAGCTGAAGTCGCATGCTTAACCAACTGAGCCACCCAGTTCAGCCGCCCCTGAAATGACTCATAAATTTGTAACTCCAGCCTACACCTCTCCTTTGGGCTCCATACACTTATGTCCAATTGCCTACCTGATGTCTCCTCTTGGGTATCTCAAATATCTTGCGTGCCCCCTTCAATCTGTTCTGTACAGAGCAGCATGAGTATTCTTTTGGAAATAAGAATGAAATCGTATGCTCCTACTTGAAACCCTTTTGCTTCCCATTCCATTCGTACTCCTAATCATGGTCAGAACACCCGGTTTGATCTAGCCCTTGCTATATCTCCAAACTTATGTTCTTCATTTTTTACTTTTCCCATAACACTCCCCACCTAGAAACTGCCTTTAGTTCCTTGCTAATCTCTCTCTGTTCTCAGGCTTTGGCACATGCTGTGCCCTTGCTTGGACTACTCTCC